TGAGCATACTCAGATGTGAGTGTGTGTGTGTACATAAACAGGGGAAGACGCTGACCCTCTGCGACAGACTACCAAAGGTCAGCAGTTGGCGTGAGAGAAGTAACGGTGGAGGGGGAGGGAGGGAGCCGCCAACCATGTTGCCAGCAATCACCTTCCCAGTCCAGTGGCCAGGAGCTTGGATTAGCGGTGCTGTCACTTGCTGTCCGCTCAGGCCTGCTAACACGCTGAGCCCGAGCAGGCCTAAGGTGCTGGTGTTGATGCGCCACTTGACACGTAATTAAAACAATGAGCCGCGGCGCCGAGAACCGGAGACTCGGGGTGTTGCGGCAGTAGTGTCGACGGAGCCTGCGAGGCCCCTGTGGGTGCTACGGGATGGGCAGAGAGCCCAAACTTAGCAGCCCCTTCAGCGGTGGCCTCAGCTGGGCCGTGGCACCGGGCGACCACGCCAGCTGAGGTGATGACGGCTGACCGCGGGGCAGCCAGAGGTTAATGGGAACGTTTAGAGGACAACGGAGCCTTTTTGTGGTTTGTGAGCAGCAAGAAAATAAATACTTCTAACAGGATCCCTCTGGCGCAGCAGAGCTGGCACAGTTGGTGTTCATCCACACTGTACCCAACCTGCCCTGTTCCCTTCTTTGCCACTGCGAGCGACGCACGTCAACAAGTATCTCCCCTCACTGTGAAGCATTGCAGCGCTGAGCAGGCGTGGCAAGACCTTGCATTCGGCGCGATGAGCTCCAGCCCTAAAACGATTAGCAGCGACAGTACTCGCTCCTCATCCTCACCGCGACTCGCTGATGTTAATGAGACCTGGACCAGCCGTCGCTGTGGGCAGACGCGCGGGGAGGAGGACGAACCGGGGAAGATAAAGAGATGATGACAACAGCTGGAGATGGCGGGGCTCGGCCCTGTCACATATCTCATTGGATGGGGGGGCGACGCCACGGAGGTGAGGCGCGATCTCTCCGAACATAATTCCTCCCTCCGGTCCACCGGGGGAGTTGACAGAGGAGGGGAGGAGAGAAAAAAAATGGAGGAGTTTAATACTGACGGTCATACTAATGCGCCTCCTCTTCTCATCCATCCAACCTCCTCCCAGCATCACTTCTTTTTCCCTCCAAATTTCTGCCTCCTCTTTGTTTTCTACCTATCTTCCCCTCACCTTTCATTGTACCTCCCTCTTGTTCTGCCATTCTACACGCTTCCTCTTTCTTCCGTCCATTCCTTTCCTTTCCTCTAATTCTCACTCTTCCTCCTTCTCTCCACCCCCCCCCCCCACCAAACCTCCAAACAGGACCTAATTGGGAGGCGAGAGTGGGGGGCCAGACCTTGACAGACAGGAGGTCAGCGTAATTGCTGCTAGCCATATTTAACATTAAGATAATCAGGCCATTAATTACCCTTTGGATCATTAAATCAGCCACTTGCAAAATGAAATTTCGGCCTCTATTACTCACTTGAGAGACCACGAGGGGAGGGCATTTTTCCATCTATCAGCCACCCCTCCCAACCTCCTCTTCCCTTACTCTCCCTCCCATTCCTCCTGCTGCCTGGACAAAGCCTCTGCCGGCCTTGTCTCGTTCCTCAACCAATTCCTCTTCTTTTACACAGGTTTTAGTCACAGTTCTTGTTGAATGTGGAGAGATTTATGATTTGGATGATGTTTTCACATATTTGCAGTAATTTAGTGCACAATGCAAGAGGCCGTTAAGCCACTAAATGATGTAAGTAGATGCATTTCCATACCAAAAATGGTAAATATGTCAACAGCAGAGTGGGGCTCCACAACTCCTCATCCTCATGTCGATTTTAGGTTTATTTACTTTTGAGTGTAACTCAAATCTGGCCACATTTACACTATTTTCTGAAGTTACACAGTTTAACTACAACATTTCATTAATCTGATCGACTCTTCCTTCGAAGGCTACAGGCCAGGACATGTTGGTCAAGCAATGAAGTTGTTCTTCATAGCACAAATGTTAGAATTTCAGGATTTTTACATGCTTGCTCTTCTCCATGAAGTGAAGTTGTGCCAGAATCGTGTGATCTGAGAAGGCAAATATGTACCAGTTCTCAATAGCTTCTCCCACATGTTATTGTGGACTTCTATTTAAATCTAACAGTTAAAAATTTAACCTAAATGGGTGCCCAGAGGAATAAAAAATAATGTTAAGTGGCTCCAGCAAGACCACCCTTTGACAAATCAAGGTAATTATCAATTTCTACTATATTTATATGCAGCTGATACTCTCTTGAAGGCTAAGAAAATATCATTGATGGTTAGCATAGCATATGATGTTTTTTAACCCCCTCCACACAAGTTTTGTGTTTTTAGTGCGACTGTATTGGTTTGTATTTATCAGCAGTTACATGCCTGTAACCCCAGCGATGGTTTGTAATTTCAGAGGAGCAGTAGGCGTTGAGTGAATGCAACCTCGGTGACACAGCTTCTACATATCATTTCATAGACCGTCACTGGCACTCCATAAAGCTGTCATAAAAGCTCCACGCCTTCCTCCCACTGTGTCTCAGGGAACGTGTGAGAGACCCCTCCATGGATAAATACTACTATGACGAGGGACAAAGGCAGCATTTTAGCACTTCAACTACATCCTGTTATACACATAAGTTTAAAAAAACCTGTGAGAAAATTTAAGAAAAATTCAGGTGTGGATTTGGAAACACAGATGCTGTTAAACAACCTTATAGTAGCCACTATCAGTGTAAAAATTTCACACAACACCCTGACTTATAATTTAGAAAAAGTGTCTTTTCATTTGCTTATTTTGTTTAGACTAATAGTACAATACAATAGGAAAATAAACAATTATTAGGTGAATGTCTTACTAGAGGGTTAATAATTAAATCTTGAGTAATTTTTGAGTGCCCAGAACAAAACAGGTTTCCAGCTTTAACATCGGGAGGGTTAAAATAGCCTTTGTGTAATCTTAGAGGTGAAATGCAGGACTAAAAAAAGCCAGTAACAGAAGGTGTAGAAGTCACAGGGTAAAAAATAGCAGTCAGAGGTGGAGAAACGATGGAAAAATCAGAGAAGGAGGAGTAAAGATAGAAAGAAAACCAGGATTTATGGAGGGGAAACGACAAACAGCGAGCCACTTAAGGAATGGACTGATAAATACTATCGACAGGACAGCGATGGGGGAGAGAGGGGAGGAGAGAGATGGAGCTGCAGTGGAGCGTCGCGGGTTAATTGAGATAATATTGACCTCCTCCTCTAATCTCTTCAGGGGGAAACATGCTTCAGATTCATAAATAAATAGGAACATGAGCAACAATAAAAGCATTAGTGCCCTGATGGAGGAGGGCTAATGGCACGTCGATATCCAAGGATCGCTCAGTGTGAGTGAGTGTGTGTGTTTTTGTGTTGTGTGTATTCAGCTAAGCAGATACAGTCGTAAAGCTGAACTCAAATATATTGACTGTAGGCATCTCCTTGTGTTTTTATGTCCAACTTTAACCTGGATTTTGATTTATTGTATACATATTTTAAAGTGCTGTATTCACTCGCATCACTTTAATTCTTACTGATATTAATTTGGCTTTAATGTAGTTATTTAAAAATTATTGTGAGTACGTTTACATTGTTTTTATACTGAAAATTTGATTTCTCATGCACACTAACCTGAGATTCAAGTCTTATTACTAGGCTGTGAAGATCTTGCATGAATATTTTTGTCTGCTTTTGTTTTTAGCAGAAAAAAACCCCAAACCATAAACTAGTTAAGCATAAATGTAATCAAAAATAAAATCCTTCAAGTTTCTCTGTTAGCTGAAAATATGAAGGACTTTATAAATTTTGTTACTGTGATTGCATTGCAGTTTCAGCTCAACGTATGTTTAATTGATTAGGATGATGGGTCCACGATCAGGAATTTATATTTTCTCTGAAATTAATACAATTAAGTCTGACACATTTAAACCTTTGTTAAGAGGACGAGTAATAAGTGACACAAGCACTAAATCTCAAAAAAGCACAGCAGAAAGTATAGCTGTGTGTACAGTTTTCATACAGTTGTTGTGCTGCTTGAGTTGGCATGTTGAATATATTTCGGATAGCTGGACTCACTAAAGGAACACTGCTTTTAATATTCATTTGTTTACATGTATTTGTTTTGTCTCGGTGCATGTAGGGTAAAAATGTTTGTGTATATATAAGTGAGTGTGCATCAGTGTGTGTTGGAGGGGAGTAATTATAAAGTGCTTCTGTTGACTAATGAGCGTCAGGGGGGCGAGTGGAGGGGGGGAGGACGGGGAAGTCGATCTTCATGCGGATGGCAGTCAGCTCTAATTTGTTATGATGGCTGCTGGCTTCCCAGGGCTGCAGCATCCGATAATTACACAGCATGCACGCACACACACACACACACAAACATGCAGGTACATGCTGATCAACACCAACGTCACGCTGAAGTTCACCGATTTGTTACTATCCCCTGTAGTCTACAAGACAGTGCACACACAGAGGTGGGCTTTTTATTGTGTGACATTTCTGTCAATATCAACACACTCAGTGTGAACCCTGCTGAGCCACACACTGAAACACTGCTCCCTGCCTGCAGCAGGCAGCACTGCACTGATATCCAACTTTCAATATGCAAAAAATGAGATCTAAGATCTAGCACAACAATGACTCACTTTATAGGAAGTAAAGTTTTTGCTGAATGTCTTCTCTCTTGGAGACAGTTTTAGAAATGGCGTTCCACAAGGCTCATGTCTGGGTCCTCGTCTATTCACTATTTATTTAAAAACAGTAGTACTTCCAACCAATAAGCAACGTCAGGACTGCTGCCCTGACCTGAGAGATGAGAGATTATGAGAAATTATTCCCTGTAGCTTCGATGTAATCCTGTCACTTCCTGCTGCACCAGAAACAACCACAGTCATCTTTAGAATCTCGTCATTCCTTCAGACTACACTTCCAATTCAAACCTCCCAGTGGAGCCAAACTCTTTTCCTTAGATGTTTTCTACATTTCCTACCTGCTGGCGTCCGGTCCAGGTTTAAGGCGTCCCTGAGCGTTGGCCTCCCACACGCTGTTGGCCAGCTCGTTGCCAATGGCCGACATCACCTTGATGAGCTCCAGCGGCCACTCATCCAGGTCTAGAGAGCGAACCCTGGACAGGTGAGTGCCCAGGTTCCTGTGGATTCCCGAGCACTCAATGCAGATCAGGGCCCCAAGATTCAGACTTGCCCAGTCCGGGTCTGAAGGAGACAAGTTCACTCTATTAAAGACAATATACCCTTTTTGGGGAAAAAAAAAAGAACTTCGGTTTAATTGTTTATGTATATAAATATGTATGTAAATATGTTATAACAAACAAAGATTATTAAAAGGGTTCCTAAAAAGTAAGAATTCTGGATAAACAACCTTTATTTTAAAGATCAATGAGGAAGTTTATCTATTTAAACTGTGTTTGCAGAGGAAGATCAAGACATGAAATTTAAACAGTTGGTAAAAGCCAGCACCGGACAATCATTGCTCTTTATTTGTAGGTAGAAGGTGGCTAACAAGGCTAGAAGAATTTTAGACCTTGGTCATCATTACAGAGCTTCTTGGGCTGTAATCAATAACTGAAATCCGAAAAAAATCGAATTCGGGAACAAATGGACAAAACTGGAAATGACCTCCGTCATTTTATATCTTAAGTTCTTTCTTTTGGTTTCGGTTTAAATGTGACGTGATAAAGAAAGAATGTAGGCATTACTGTATTCTTCCTTCCTATTGTCTCAAAAATGGGCAAAAAGAGCATTTGTAAGAATTATGATCTGAGAAAAGCTCACAATGTTGGCCTGCTTGCTGGGAGAGATTGCATCTCTAAGGCTACGTTCACACTGCAGGCAAAAGCGCATCAAATCCGACTTTTTTGACCCTATGCGACCCATATCCGATCATGGTATGACAGTGTGAACGGCACAAATCCGATATTTTCAAATCCGATCTGGGTCACTTTCATATGTGGTACTGAATCCGATACATATCTGATGTTTTAGAAAGCGACTGCTGTTTGAACGGTCATGTCGCATTAAATCCGTCTTTTACGTCAGTGACACAAGACAGACGCCAATTATCAGCACCGGAGAAGCGACCAAGAAGACATCGTGAACGCTTCCTGGTCATCCCGTGTAGATGTTAGTGAAAGTGTTGGGAAGACAACGTTGGAGAAACGTGAACATTTTATTTGTACTGTATAAGTACATAGTACATAGATAGTTGCAGATTCTGACAGAAATCAGCAACTATCCTTTGAAGCACCGCTCCTCTCTAAAACAGCAATAAGGATAATTATGAGGCCATATGTAAATAACAAAATAACTTTATAACTTAAAGCAAAATTGGGAAACGTAAAGTCCGAAACAAGTCTTTATATTAACGCTTTGAGCGTTCACACTAGAGCGCGTTTGCTGTCACATTTTATTTGTAGTGTGAACAAGCAGACAGAAAAAATCAGATTTGATAAAAAAATCGGAATTGAGCATTAAGACCTGCAGTGTGAACGTAGCCTAAGTTGGACAGTGAGAGGCTGAACATCCTGCACAACAACCTAAAGGATGGACGGAGTTTCAGGAATTGGACTTAAATTATGCAACTCCTTGAAATAACTGGACCCATTCTTGGATGGTGTCACATTTACACATAATTAATCCTTTCAGTCTAGTTTAACTCTGACCATTAAGAAGATACTCAGAAGGCATTCTTGCGTGAACCCTAAGAATCATCTTTCTTGACCTGTCTGATGGTTTATTTTTAGGAAGTAAACTGAAGGGTAATGGTTGTGCTAGTGAAGGTTTTGTTGACACTGTGGGTGGTTTGTACTCACTCGGTGTGTCGCAGTCGGCACAGCGACCGTTCCCTCGAATGCTTCGGATCGACTGCAGAGCCATCGCCTCTGTCTGGCTTGTCAGACGAGACTGAAACAAAGAAGAAGAAAAAAAACAGTTCTGGCTCATGTCTTTTCTTGACTAAATGTTTACTTTACAGTTTGAGGGAGAAAAAAATAGGATTTAAACACTGATCAACCTCTTGTGTTCTTGACAGCGCTGTCTCTCAATTAGGCTAAAAATGTTTAAAACACTGAGCATATGTGAGTCGCTGCTGTTTTGGGTTATGAGCATCAATGTCGGAGAGTGAAGGAACAACACGATACACAAATGGAATTGGTGAAGGGAGGGGGGGCCGGCGTCTTTTTTCTTCTTCTTTCTTTTTGGGTGGGAGGGCAATAAAAAGGCTGAGAGCCTGAGGCGTAAACACATCAGGCCTCGAATGAGACGCAGCCGCCTGCTGCAGGTGGAAAATGGCAATGCTGAGGCTCAATGTGAGCTACAGTAATTGCTATTTTCTAATTATGTGAGTGAACGCGCGTGTGTGTGTTTGTGTGCATTAAAGGGCGATTTCGCATGTTTGTTGGTCCTGATGTGGACAAATGTGAAAATGGTGCAATGAAGAGACTGAAAGGCTCCAGGAGAACTCGGCTCACCTTGTTCTTGCTGCTCTCGCACGACTGCAGACTCGCCAGGATCTGGCTCTCGATGACCTGAACCCAGGCATCTCGCTCCTCGTAGGAAGTGGCTTCAAAGTGCCACGTCTGCCCCGTCAGCGACACGATGGTGAACTCAAAGTTCTCCTCTTGTTCTGTCAGAGAGAGAGAGAGAGGGAGAGATGAAAACACATCCTGACCTTACTCTGACCATTTTGATTCAAAAGCTTCGTCATCAAACAGTCGCCAAGCAGAATTTAAAAATAAGAACAACGTGTGGATGCTCAGCTGAGGGCTGTAACGACCAACTCTCTCTCACATTGTTTGACAGGACACCTGTTCTACTGACCTACATGACCCCGCCCCCTGTAGCCAGGATATCACCCAAATTAAGGGTCCCTGGACCATCCTGCCCTCTTCTCTGCAGACATGTCAGCAGGAGAGGCCAGTCATTACAATCAGGGCCAGCTGGAGGGGGGGGAGGGGGGGGGCATATGGATCTGTTACACAGAACCTCCTCAGAGGTTAATGGGACAATCAGGAGCCAATTACATCAAGTATGTGCGAGCCTGTTGTGTGGATTCAGGGTCAAGGTCACTTTTTAAAGCAGCACCAGCGAGGTTTGACAACATGTCTGCAGAGTCACACATCAATGGGACCGTTCACTCAAAATCACATTTTAGTAAATTCAAATAAAGTCTCCACACTGAGACAGTTCTAATGGGATTTACTGCAATAAAATGTATAAAAACCTCAAAAAATGTCACAAAATTAGAAAAGAAATTACAGCTAAACTACATAAAATACCAGAAATGAGCAGTAACCAACAGACCTCTCCAGCTGATCTTTAAAACAGTAACTGAGCTAACAGACTGAGCCACATCAATACGTATCGACTGTTAGAATAAACAGGATATTCAGACTAGATTTGAAAACCTTCACCAATTTTCACTTCCTGTTAAATAAACATGAATTAACTCTTGAGTTCAAAGACTAAAAGATCCACTTTTTAGCTCTTCAAAGCTTTTTTCAAACTTCAGATGACTCATGAGGTGAGCTTCCAGCTGCATGCTGGAGTCTTCCTCAGATCTCCATCTTTATGTTTCCAGCTGCAGTTTTTAGCAAACATGAGCAAACACAAAATCCTAAATGTTATGATGAGGTGAGTAGAAACCGTTAGAAAAGTCAGTAATGGGAGCTCGGCGTTACAGGGAGTGCAGAATTATTAGGCAAATGAGTATTTTGTCCACATCATCCTCTTCATGCATGTTGTCTTACTCCAAGCTGTATAGGCTCGAAAGCCTA